CAATTTAGAGATACCTCTTAGTCTAACTGCATGTATTTGGAATGAGGAAGGACACCCACTTAGTATGGGGCAAAACACACAAAAAACAGAGGCAAGACTTAAACCCTACACATCCTACTAAATATATGTCATAGCAGTAGAAATTGTACTTATATTGCTCAGATCAGAAGAAAATGTAATTTTTCATATACTGTGCAAGTCCAGATGTATTTAATGGGCAATGGGGCTTTGTTAAAGATCAGATTTTCACTTGAACTCCTCTTTCATGTGACAGCATGCTCTGGCAATATCAGATGTATTCTGTAATTGCCACTGGAATCATATGGCCATCTCATGTTGATGGGGGTGTTGTGGTTCTAGAGGGAGAGGGGGCTCGCTCAAGGGCCTAATGGTAATGTAGGTATTCTGTTGACCATGGGATATGAAATGATGGCCTTCTGATTAGTGGTACAGAGGTCTAACTCACCCAGGCAAACCTCCTCACCCCTTCCCTATGGCACTACCATCACAACCTTCTGCTAAACCTTAGATCTGATGAAATACAATAAAGTCAAAGAAAAATTAATGGACCTTGCAAGAACAGGAAGGGAAAGAAAAAAAATCCAATTGTGGAATATAATAGAACAAACAAAGCAGTGATTATAACACAATAAGAAACAATAAGAAACACAATAAGAAATATTGGTAATAACACAATAAGAAACAAGCCCGAAACGGCACCATATTAGCAGAGTTTGTTAGGGAGATGGGCATTATATTAGGTCAATGATTCCACATTTAGGACACGATCAGTGTAGGTAAATCACCAGAGATAATGCAGTGGCTTCATGGAGCTGGGTGGCTCTAAGTTTGTTGTTCATATAAGATATAGAAAGGTAAGAAACAGTAAAATTCCAGAATAGCTAGCTAGAAGAAATTCAAATACGTCATCAGAAACAAACGAGGAATGATAAGAAAGGATTGAAAATGACCTTGTTCCAGCTCGTTAAGCATAAAATTGGTCCAAACAGAAAATAGTAGCAAAATGCTGGTTTTCTGCATTGAAGAATTTGCTAATTTCTTGGAGTTACAATATTTGTTCATCTCCTGATGCTTTTCTGTGTATTCAAATGAAATTATGTTTCAGATGGTTAAACAGAATATTGCTATGTATTTTTTCTTTAAAAAAAAAAAAAAAGAAGAAATCAGAATAAAAAGTGCCTTACATCACCAGAATTGGGAGTACAGAGCGAATAAAGTTAGGGTGCTTTGAAAAATGTCAAAATTTTTCGTATTGCAAATTCTCAGCTATTAAACGATGAGTTCAACTTTCCAAAATATCATTATATGGATATTTACATCCATAAAGTAACCCGATGGGTGCAGATGAAGTCTTTCACAGTCTAGCATTTTATTAACAGTAAAGGACAAGAAACATCTTCTGGACTAAATAAAGAAACAATATCCAGGCAGTAGGGAGATGAATGTTGCACTAGTTCAGCACCCAGCATAGGCCATAGGTAGGTACCATCAAACAGAGATTAACAATCACAGCTGAGCTTGGAGCCGGAGTCGCTCTTTGCAGAGCCTCTGCTGTCCATCAGGTCATCCGCTGCTGAGTGACTGCTCAATTTTCCATAGGCACAAAGGTATGATTGAAATAGGGTGCAGTCTGTGCTGCTGGATCTCTTGTTGCCACAAATGATCGGTAATGGCCAGTCACATCCCTTCCCACTACTATGGCAATGGCGAATGCTTTTCCCACACCACTGGAGAAGGGGTGGGGGGGTTGTCTGTGTTCTGAGTGTGTGTGAATTAGGTTTATATTACTTTTTGGGGACCATCCCACAAAGATCTGTGAATGCAATCAAAAAAATAAAAATGTCAAAAGTCTAGTATTTTGTTTAGTTACTTATGGTTAAGGTTAGGGCTAGGTAGGGATTAAGGTGCTGGGATTAGTGTTTCCCCATAGAAATGAATAGAGTCCCCACAGAGATATAATTACTGTACAAACCTGTGTGTGTGTGTCTATCTGTCTGTCTGTCTGCTGGACTACAGAGCGGTGGGGGGGGGGGTCGGAGTAGTTTTCTTTTTTTTGAAAAGGAACCTAAAAATGTAATCCTTTCTGTTAAAAATTAATCATAAAGGAGCAAGTTCTTCATTGTAAACCTGTATTGTTTTAGGAAAATACATAGAAATATTAGATAATACACATTGACCAAGATAAAGCCTTCTGATAAAATACTAAGTGGTGATTCCGTATCCCATGTGTAAATTTCAAAAACACAATGCTACTCCTACTTCATGCCCTCTCTTCCTGCAGTTGAAAGAGTTTTACTGTCCTACAATGAGTATACCAAAACATGGGACTGATTAAAAATCACAATTATAATAAATAATAAACAAATCTGATTTACGATAAACTATTAAAAGTAAGTGATGCAGTGTAGTTATGAGAGCAATGAGGAAAACAAACTTTACTTTATACTGTACATATATATTCACTCATATATATATATATATATATATATATATATATATATATATATATACGGTATATATAACACTCAACTATATTTGCTGATTAATGTGTATGATTATCACTCTGCTCCTGAAATTGGCATGAAGGTAAATGTGTATGAGACTCATACAGTGCTCTGAAAGAAAACACGCTCCCAGTCTCAGAACAGAAGGGCAGCCTCCTGTGAATGTCAGATCACCAACAGGGGCAGTTTAGAATCTCAAATCAGTACCTGGGGAGTATGTGAGAATGAAAATGTGCATGCTAGTGGAACACTGAAATTAGACGCAAGGAAGTCAGGACCCAGCCCAGGTTCCTGGCAGCGAACTGCGGCAGTGCTGTATGTAAGACTGCTTTATTGCAGGCAGCATGAGCAGAAACCCTTTTGGGAGAAAGATCATGAGACTGAGGAAGACGCTGTGCTTCAATTGCTTGTTCAGCAATTTTACCAGCAGCACAGCATGGGGCCATGAATACAATGAAGTCATACTTCAGACCTAATATGTTAAGAGTGAGCATATGGTCTCCATTGGCAGCGCTATGCAGAATAGCCCTTGCTTGAAATGGACTGGATAAAACAGACAGTGTAGAAACCAGAAGGTGCTACTGCTGCGGTTTCTTTTGCCGTACCACACCATCTAGTGAGATCACTCTGTTACTCCTGAGTTTGGTGCACTGGCATCCAATCCACTGCGTGTCCTGTGGTACCTGGGGCAGACTCCAGGCCCCCTTGTAACCCTGTCCAAGGTATGTGGATGGATGGATGGATGGATGGATGGATGGATGGGTGACTTTGATGCATTATATTTTCATTGTTCAAGATTCCTTTCACATTGACATGAAAAAATAATCCAGTGGAACATAACAGGATCCAATACCTTAGCGTGCAGAAGTTGTTATCGATAACTAAAAAAAAGATACCCTTCCAAATGATGTTTGTCACAGAAAGTCTTGACTGTCAAAAGATGACTGGTACTTTGCAAAAAATGTCTATATTTGTTTGTTTTCATGGGTATGGTATCACACGGGTTCCAAAACAGTATCCTCTTTCATCTGCGGGCTGGTAGGGTCACACCGACTGGCTGTCACCCACAGATGCTTGCTTTAAAATCTCCCTGTGTGAGCCAACACCCTGTTGCCCCGTTTGCCTTCCCAGAGAAAATCTGCTTTGATGCAACGCCTACTAATTTGTTCAACTGTGATATGTTGTATGGCATAAGCTATACCTGCATCTGGTTTTGATCAATACAAAAAAAAAAACCCTCTTCTACACATTATTAATGTATTTCTTAGCAAGCTGGTTTGCTTCTCCATATTCACATCTGGTTTTAAGCCCAGATTGCATTGTGCTTTAGCGCACAATAATTATTTTAGAAATTACTAATGCAATATAATACAACTTCCCCTGGAAGAATGAAGAAATATGTTTGACTTTTAGGATAAGTAAGGTGATAATAAACGTCACGACACATGGACTTTGAATTGCTTGTATTGCGATCTGCCATGGCCGACACAGTTGTTTAGTGGCTATAGGACTGAGGTTTCATACCTCCTGGGTTGGAGTTCGATTTCCGGCTGTCTGTGTGCATGCGATTGCAGTTTGCCTGTTCTTCCTGCTTGTGTGGCTTTCCTCTGGGTTTCTCCGGTTCCTTCCACATTCCAAAAACATACACTTAGATGAATTGCTGTCTCTAAATTACTTTTTGTGTGTGTGCCCTGCGATAGATTGGCATTTCACCCAGTGTAGTGACCCCACACTCCGTTTGCTGAGGGTTTAGCAGCCTCACCAACCTGAAATATACCCCTTACAGCAGAAATGAAATATTATGGGATGCAAATGGTTGTGAGAATATTGTGTTGTCTAGCAATAACTTTTCACACTAATAGAATAAGCAGCCTGTGAAGTAGGTTATAAAGAAAAAAAATGTATCAAACCATTATTGAATCAGCTCAACTTTTTACAGCTATTACACTGAGAATGTCGAATTCATTGAGCTGTCAGCAAACGATCACATAATCATTTGTTTCAGGTAATATTGTGGGATGATATCCCACATTGTTCAGGAGTTCACTGCTTGTGCTCCTGGGACAAAGAAGCCCTTCAATGGCATATGTGTATTATTATCCGTATCTGAACAGTTATCTTCAGTCTGATTTAGGATAAATACATAAAATATAGTACAACATACACAGCATTCAAATATGTACCTTTGCTGGCTTAAAGAACTATGACACAAACCTAGTAAAAAAGGTGTACTGTACATTCGCCAAGCACTCCAAACAATTTTGACAGGATATGGTGGTTGGCGCGGCATCAGCTACGCTGTGAACCCTATAGAAGTGCCTTTCTGATAAACCAGCCTAGTTAAATACTCCGATTAATTTTACTTTGTCCCAAAAAATAAAGAAAAAAAATAGGTGACAAGCGAGCCGTGAGCACATTCAGGCTATAAGGAGAAAGGTCCCGCTTGCAGTGATGTTTCTTTCTGATATTTCCAGAGCGTTGTTGCTGAATCGTGCTCCGGGAAAGCTGCTCCCGTTTTCCTGCGCGTCGGCTGTTTATATTTGAGGCAGGACCGTAGGTGTGTCTGAGGATAACATGCAGAATATATTCAAATATGCTCGGCAGCCGGATGGCGTGAAAGAGCCGCACTGAGGAGAAGACAGAAGTGAGGCGCGCATGTTCCGTAAGGAGGAGAGAAAAGGCGAAAGCACGCTTCTCACAGCGTTTTTACAGCATGGATTTTGCTTACAAAACCACCGCAGGGATGTTTGCGCTGTTGTTTATGCTTCTTTGCTGCTACCGCGGGATACTTTGTAAAGGTAAGTAAAAGGGATAAACGTCGGGGGAAAAGATTTTTTTCGCAAGTGTTACACGCTTTTCGTGCAATATTTAAATTGTATTTCGATATGCGGAGTCAGTGGGATTCAGAAACAAGTTTGGGTTTTGATAACTTTGTCTTACGTGTAATGCAAATGACCGCTGCATTGATTGTATACGCACGTTTAATGCTTCATATTTTGCATGCTAGTGCTTTTCTTTTACTTTGACTTATTTTTCGACTATTATGGCAGGTTATTTGCTTATTTTATAGCTGTTCCCTTTCAGATCACCTGCTTGTAGTTTAAAATGTACATAAAAGTGCAACCATATCTTCTTGTAGCGAATTTGTATGTTTTTGCTTAATTTGCTTACAACTTTAGATAAATTGTTATGTTTACGAGATTTTACGATGGGCAAGAGACTTGAACGGGATATATTAGAGAATGTGCATGAAGTCTGTTGTAGAGGTATTTTGGGTATTTTTGTAGACATCAGGAAGTGTTTATTGTGATAACTTTGTAAATGAGTTATTCTGATAAGCATCAGTGTGTGTGATATATACGTAAGTTATATGTGCGTGTATGTGTATACACACAATATAAAATTAAATATTTAATGCGGAGCAAAATTGCATCATGCATAAAACAGAAATGTACAATCATGTTTTATTTTGTGTTCTGATTATCGCAAGATAAATGCATACGGCGAGTAATGGTTACTTTTGTCACATAAATACATTTGCTTTATTTAAAATATAGTAATGACTCATTGTCCTGTTCAGAAGGTTTATTTACTGTAGGCTATACCTGCTAGTTTTGTATTTCACTGCTGCTAAAGATTATTGGTGAGACACTCGGGGGAAATTCAGCATTTAAATGTAGAACCTTAATGTCGATTAAGTGGAGAAAATGTCCGATCCCAAGAAAATCAGTTAGTAAAAGATGAATTGATATTGCTGTTAAGCATTTACAAGGCTGTATTTGTGCCGCTGAATTTAACAACGTTCAGTTTTCGGTATTACAACAACAAAGTCCAAAGTACAAAATAAATAATGACAAAAACATCGTTCTCTTACGTTCACCTCTGCAATCCGAAAATAATTATTGCATCCTATATAGTTTACGCCATAAACGTACCGGCCGGTTCATCTTTTTTTTTGTTTTTAGTAGGCACTGTTGTTTCCGAGAACGCAGTTTATACTGTAGTTATGCATGTATTTTTGCTTAATCCGTTATTGTCAACATGATCTTGTGTAATCGGCAACATCATGCTAATTGTTGTGACTTATGTCCCCTGAGCATGAGCGGCGTTTTAGAATGGCACTAAATCTTCACCCAAACAGCCTCTTTGCAGTAACACGTCGCCCCCGGTAACGCGAGTAAACGCTTGTCCTTGTGTGCCGGGAAGGAGGGGTGTCGATTATGAGATGCGCCTGTGTCGTAATTGGAGCAGATGGTGCTGAACTTTGTAAGCCCCCTGTTTTCTTCGACTCTCGCCGCGTTTCGAGCACAGTGGGCGCACTGCAGGACGGCTGTCAGATTTGTTTGCCTCAACCTTTGTGTCTTGCCACCATTGCCCCGTGCGTCTTTCTGGGCAATAGTGCATGCATGCATACAAACATTTAAAAAAAAAAAAATGTGTATGTTTCAAAATAGAAGATTTCTTTGGCTCTTCCTCCTTTCAGGATTATGTATAACCGCTAATAATAATAATAATAATAATAATAATAATAATAATAATAATAATAATATTGTGTTTAAAGTGGACTTCCACTCAGAAATAGGGAAAATTGTGTCGTTCGCCAGATGTCCTAAGTTTTCCACTGAAATTGTAGCACGTATGCCGTATGCCATGTATCGTTCGCATTGTTGTTGTTGTTTTTTGTTAATGTTCTGCTTTTTTTCTCACTCTTTGACATCACCTGGAGAATATCATATTCTGCTGGAATTCTCAGGGGATAAAAATATATACAGTTTAATTACCGTATCAGTGTTTTCAGTGACATATTTTTCATTGTCCTCTGTCAAAAGTGCTTTATTAAAATAAATTTTAATAAATTGTACTTACGTTTCTTTTACGTTTGCATTTTTTCATAAGAAAATGTTAGAAATGTTAGTCTTTTTATGGTTTTTATTTTTCTATAAGTTATTGATGCTATAAAATGTGAAAATTAGTCTACAGCAGAGGATGGCAACTTACACTTCTTCCCCACTTCTGGTCTCCTATACTATATTCAGTGAAAACAGCTTTTCAGATTAGGGCATGAAAAAACTGGCTGCATTACAGTACTGTATTTAGACAGTCATTTGGTAGAATGTCAACAGAAGCCTAATTGAATTTGGTCTCCACTGAAATGATGCCATGCCTTGAGCAGATACAGAAACTTTACAGTCCATTTTTGCCCCACATGCACAAATCAACACCATACCCTTTAATGAATATCTACCATGTCCAGAGAAAAAAATAAATGTATTCACCAAATCCATTAGAACCGTCTAACAAGTAGATTTGGCGGTACATTGCGGTTGGAACAGTATCAATGGAATCATGAAAACCATGAAAATACCTCGCTAGTGAGCAATCCAAGCTTAACGCTTTAATAGATTTCACTTTGCCACAAAGCATAATCTAAATGGACAAGTGAGTGGTAAGCATTCAGGTTCTGAGTACAAATGTTCTGTTTTCTGTGAAGTCTTTTTTTCCCACTTATTTCTCCTGACCTTCCATCCTGAAAAGCTTTTCCCATGATTCCAATGACCACGTTCAGCCAATCACTGAATGCAACGTCAACAACAGCCTCATTGAGGTTGTTTTCTGCTGAAGTGGTTCCAGGTATTAAAGCAGGGCCAAAAAAGTTCAAGATTATTCCGGCTCTACATGCAGAGGATGATACCAGGGAGGGTCACTGCTTTTCAGCGTCAGCCTTGAAGTGGAAATATGCCAATAACAAGCCACATGGTGCATACATTTTCTGGATGACCTGTTTGTTTATTCCATTGAATTGAATTAATAATTGAGCGTATTGTGAAATTAAAATCATAAGTTGAGTGGCTACTGCTACTTCTCAGTCGTGTATCAAGTCCCTTTTAATGGTAATATATGTGGGGGTAATCTATAAAGGTTAAATGTACTATTAACATTAAACTTTTGGTCACTTGTAGATGAAATCTAGAAAATATATTAATTTGTATTGTTAGTCTAATGTCTTATCCAAATATGCTTGCAATGGCTTACAGAAAAAACACAGTCACATGTAATGTGAATACATCACAGTCCGTTTGCACATTCACCAATTGCGCTTTTTCCCTGGCATACAGGAACCGACCCGTACCCAAGCCATACCGTGAAGAAAGGCTAGTTTTAGCACGGTTACAGCTTGCTTTGGTTTTCCACTGCAGAAAGGCTGGCTCGGTAAAGGCGTTGCTGAGTTTGGTGAACAGATGAACCGAAGAGATGCTTATTTACTGTTCACATGGTATACATCATGATTTACCATGTGCAGTTATTCCACTAGCACATCTGTGAGAATCACCGTGTTATTCAAGTACCAAACGCTAGTGCAATTAGCATTCGCTTGTACAGTATTACAGTATTCTGTATATTCAAATACTTTTTTTCTTAACAAGCTTTGCCATCTGAATGAATGTCTTCACTATATATTAAAACATTTATCAATGGCTGGGCTACCATTTTGCGTAAAATGTACACATCTGATGTGATTGTGCCTAAAGAGGTTATGACAGCAAGAATGAATTTGTGCTGACTTACGAAATGAGTTTTGCTAGAAAAAATAGCGTGGAATTGTTTTTAAAGAGGGCACAAATAGGTATGATTTTCAGTTAAGGTGTAGATCTATGTGTGCTTCACAGTGCAATTTTTGGCATCTAGAGGGAATTTTGCCACACAGTTGGATTTTACAGTCTACTGCTCTTATTTGTTTCATGTGACCTGTTTTGTTTTTGTTGGTCAGCTGAGAGCTATCAGCGATGTATGATGTTTTTCCTCAAGTAAGTAGAATGTGCAACAAAGGGGGAAGGCTTTACACATTTTGGGTTTAAAACTATACAAGATACTTCAGTTCATTAAATTAATTGCTGTTTTTTTTTTGTTGCAGAAACACAACACCACATCATGTTATGTTCTTTGACTACATGTTCTAATATGTGAGAATATAACATAATAAATGGGGTATCAGTTATTGCTAGAGAAAATGTCCATTCTGCCCCCCTCAATACATTAAGGTGTATTATGTGCTAACGTGTTGTTTCTTAGAACTAGAGAGTATAAACACTGTTTACTAAGGTAAAAGCACAGCATTAAGTACTGTGGGCCTCTTAAGATATGTTACCAATTATTTTATATAATTTGGTTAAAAATCCTAATTTGAACTCTACCTCTAAAAAAACAACTGCTTTTGACTAAATATTTGTCAAATTTCCCTTTGCTACATTAATTCCAGTGACAACAGCACACCTGTGAATATTGCATTTGTTTAACAGGTGGTTTATAATAGGCCCTTGTTTTTAGTCATCTCTTTGTTAGGTTTGCAGTGTTTTCACCATACTGAGTGCTTGTCCCCGTATACAACCTCTTTGTCTTGTGTTTTAGATTTTGTCATTTTCTCTGCATCGCACTTTTTTGGCCCGACGATGTTTTCTTTGTGTTCTAGTACTGGCTCTTTGATCTAAACCCTATACAGTACATTGGATAACGAATATTTGCTTGCAGTGTGGAAATGAACATGGTTCCACTGCATTTGGACCCTCTCACTTCTGATCCTTACGGTATAAATGCAACACATGTTTGTCACGGTACATGCATCTACAGTACAGTACATATGCAGATCTTGTATTTATAATTTTACTGTGACTTGGGAAGGGTATTTGAGTGCATCATAGTAAAATTCTGCTGAGAAAGTATAAGGTCTAAACTGTTGTGGCAGACCTTATAGTTTGTATGTGGTAGACCTTTGTCCCATCCAAATTTATTACTTTTCCAT